ATTTTAAACCCACTCCAACTTGGGTTGGGTTCTACTCCGGAGTGCTCCGGAGTAGGCTGCTCCATTAACAACCCTAGTTATGACCTTATGACCTGTTATGACATAAAATTTACTACATTATGACCACATAATGTTGAATGATTCAGAGTGATCCCTCATCAGTTTTACTATATAAGTAACATCACGGTCTCTGCTGTTTTTTTGATCACGTTGCGCGTTCCACCAACTCATATTTAAAAGGCGCGGTATAACGGTGTCTTAGTTTTTTCGACATGGGATATTTTTTAAGTGAAGATCGTAACAAGTTGAGGTACCCAGGTTAGTATACTGCTATCGTGCCTGTTTATTTTCATAATTAGAACAATAAAATAAATTTTGGTCAATAGATTACTGGGACCGAGATCCGAACACATGGGGGAACATAAATGATTGGGATGTTTACTGGGCTGCGCAACCACAACGTGTACTACTTAATAAATGCAATTCTCACTCAGCTTTATCAGAAGAACTGAATATTCTAAAGAAAATACTTGATCCTACGAATCCTGTTTATAAAATTATTTGCAACATACAGAACGAATTAAAGGAAAGTAATTTTGTGGTAGTGCCAGCGTACTCAATAGCTAATCTGGCAACCGCTGGTTGAGAAGGTTTTTAGCGCTGGTAAAAACCGACAGGTAGCACCGCTGGTGCGCGGCTATTGAAACGCAACTGACGTACTTCATGTCTAATCTGGCAACCGCTGGTTGAGAAGGTTTTTAGCGCTGATAAAGACCGCTGGTGCGTGGGCATGAAAACGTTGGTCGGAACGAGTGTCCGTGGCACTTTTTAAACTTTTTTCCCTATCTGTTATTCTAAAATCATATCATTTTACCTGATTATCCTTATTTATTTATTTATTTTTTTTAATATCCGCAAAGAATGACAAAATTTGGGAAGGAATGAATCAAATTTCTTCGTTAAAGGTAGGGTCTGACATAGTCGATTTGAAATTGGAAATTGATCAGGTAGGTCCATTAGTTTTCCGATGCATCCAACGGCCTCTTACTTAGTTATTTCGAACTTTGTTACAACAGAAAGAAGGAAGGCGAGCTGTTCACCAGATAACGCAAGAAGGACTCAAAGTAGCGCAAAAAGGAATACAGAAATATTCTGAAGCAGAATTTGATACACGAACTAGTATGTTTGACTCAAACTATTTGCTAACACTATTAAATCGCTATCACTAAAATTTTCATATAAATGATAGGCAACACTTTTCAATTTACAGAGGTTCGGCCACCAACACCAACAAATCGAAATTATCAAGAAATACAAAACGATGATGATAGTTATTATATAACTAATGGTACGGATGATTATTTGCAGAAAGCGGTAGAGTCCATGGCTGGCCAAGTGGAAAGTGTTGAGTTGATAGTTGACGATGTCAATTTGGAAGAGATTTTCGAAAATTACCGTAATGAATGTAAAAATAAGTTTGAGTAAGTAAAATCAGCTCTTGTAATTACATGAATCAATTTTATACACTAATTTTATTTCAGTCTATGCCATAGTGACATAATGGATTTGAGACCCGCTTCACAATTAACAAATCTTGTTCCTGAAGTAACGTGGGAGAAATTTATCTCAGACACTTATCCTGAATATAAAATACCAGAAAAATGAGAAGAGTCGATACAAATTTTTTAGGGTAAATATATTCTAAGATCTAAATTAACATGTTACACGTAACAACCTCGTTTTGGCCAGTAGTAGTTAGATTTAAGGTTTGGGTACCCGAATTTTTAGTCATTTTAATTTGTTGTTACAAATAATCGTGTAACATGTTGTTACAATTAGATTCGTCCTTATTTTATTTTATCTTTTTGATTCAAATAATTCGGATTGTTCTTAATTGTTGTTTGGCAAAGTAGACACTTTAACCGAATGGGTGGAAGCCTGGCGCGGACTTTTTGGAGAAAACGAAGATCGGATTATAAAGGACATATTATACAATATTCTCTCCCATAGTATGTTTAAATTTAAAGATTTTTATATTTAACAGTATAATATTGAAATTGTATTTATTTTTATTTATTTTTTTTTTTTTTAGCATTGAGGCTTTTAATGTCCCATTTAACATCCTAAAGTCAGGTGATCTGGGGAAAACCAATTCAATTCACAATTTATAAATCCCATATTAAATAATACACTCAAGGCCATTTGTAACATGGATTGGAGAATGTAAGTGAATTCGATTTGTCCATGTTCATTTGCTCATTTATAATGATTAACATTGTTATTTGCTCGTAGACTCGAAGTCCCAGTCAGAAGTAGTAAATATCGACGGAATGTTAACAACAATCCACTTGTTAATAAAGTGTTGAGTGCAAAACGTGCGGATGGATTAGCTCGAATGTGGCAAAGTCAGGAAGAAATATTCATATACGAGCAGACAGGCCCACCTGGTTTTGATGACATTACCGAATTTTATATCCATGATTATAAGCTCGCCAGAACTATGCGTGATGTCTTGAACCAGCGGATCATTCTTCGGCTCAATAGTGGAACGAACGATTATGATAATCTCGCCAGCTTTGGTGCTTTAGCTTATCGCACTGAAGTATCTCTGCTTTGGTGCACGATACACCAAAGGTCATATTGTCTACGTGAATATGGAAACTTCTGTATACCCCTGATATGGCAGGATCTTCCAGTTTTATCCGAGGGAATAATAACATGCATGAAATTTTTGTGAGTATCTCTAAAATTATATAATTTTGTTCCGCTTGTCTTTGTTCATTATCTTTGACTAAAAATTATTTACATTTAGTCCTTCATGAAAGCAAATATCACAAAAATCAGTCCATGCATTGATCCAAAAATGAAATTAATTTCTAAGCGAAGAGTTCATAAAATAGAGCTGAATCCACCAACACCTGATAAATATAAAAAACAAAGATGTTAACATTTAAGACACAAAAAAGCTATGAAATTTTTTTGTTTAATGCCAAAATAAAATTGCAGATAAATTTCAACTAATCGAAAATTTATAATAAAGTCGGGCTAATTTTTTTCTGTACAGTTTATGCAAAAGAATTTTTACATTCAAACAGTTTTGAAATTTGGTATATCACTCTAGTTATAATGGTATTATAGTAAATCTTTCTATACCAATAAATTTTTTTCATAGTTCTAATATAAAATAAATGTTGAGATAACTAGGGATGGGCAATTATATGATACCATATAATAAAAATGGTATAGTATAATTAATGAAATACTGTATAATTGGTGTAGTATAATTAATAAAATACTGTATAATTGGTATAGTATTTGTGAAACTCACATAATAAATAGAAATATTATAAGACACAATCAATAAAAATACTGTATAATTGGTATAATATTTTAGTATAACAAAGTTGGGCAATAGAAATTTAGATGAAATGTTTCATAGAATGAGCAAGCACGTGACAAACCTGTATATGTTCCGATCCGGGATTAGTGCTTGTCATTCGTGGATCGTGAAATGAAGTAGGTCGGTTTAGAATCGGTATTAATTTACCGATTAAAAAAAGTGAAAAAAAGAAATAGAAAGCGAATAAAAATAAATTATTATTTGCTCTCTTAACGTTAATCGCTAGCTAAATTTCATACGTTAAACGAAAAATTAATTAAAATAAATAAATTTAAGAAATAAAAAGCGAATAAAAAATAAATTATTATATGTTCTCTTAACGTTAATTGCTAGCTAAATTTCATACATTAAACGAAAAATTAATTAAAATAAATAAATTTAAGAAATAAAAAGCGATGAAAAATAAATTATTATATGTTCTCTTAACGTTAATTGCCAGCCAAATTTTCATACATTAAAACGAAAAATTAATTAAAATAAAATAAATTTAAGAAATAAAAAATGAATAAAAGTGATTAGATGCTCGATCAACGTTAATTACTATTCAAATATTCATATATAATTTAACCATTAATTAAAAGTTTTTGCATTCCCCGCGTAGAATACATCCGCATTTTCTTGAGCATAATGAATTTCTTCTTCTGCAAGAACATGATTTGGTGCCGCAATTTGTTTTTCGGCAACGACATGTTTCTTGTCGGGTACCTTGACTAGAACCAATATTATTATTCGTAACGCTAATGTTGCAAAACTTATTAAAATTATTATTATTAATATTATTAAGAATATTATGATTATTATGTTTTTTTTTTTATTACTTACTCAAGGAACATATTTGACGTGTACTCATGAGCATGGCCATCTTGAAGATTATAGGTTGGACATTTGTGACTATTATTAGTCGGTCTTCTATTGTTACGAGTAAGGTTTTGTCTGGCACCTGCTTCTCTTAACGAAAGTATATTATTTAGTGGTACAACGTTGAGATCAGGATAATCAGGAGTACCCAGTGCTCAAGTTCATTTGCCGAGTACCAATTGTCGAGGATCCCAAATTTGTAGGTTACTTGGTAAGAATCACGGTTAGATTTCTTTTGAATGACCTTGCATGGTAGAGATCTTCGATCCATCTTTAATTTATTAATGTTGGGAATGCGAATTTTTACTAAATAATCAGGTTCGTATGTTCGATTTCGTTTTGTTTTATACTTTGCTTCCATGTTGTTTTTAATAAATTCACGGTTTCTTTTAACATTTAAAAGAGCAGCATGTCGAATAATTCCATGTTTCGGATGTATAGGCCGAGATGAATTTGTAATATTAAGTAATGGTATTCTAGGCTAAAATATTTGAAATTGTAATAAAATTATAAAATAAAATAAAAATAAAATAAAAAATAAAATAATAATAATACATTGTTATCCGCATTCACTGTTTCTTTGAATTCAATATCTACATTTTTCAGGTGGTTCGACAGAAGTAGCCCGCCATTTTTCCTTTTGAATAGCAGTATATCGATTTTCAATTGATTCTGATTCTGAATCGGATCTCTCTAAAGACATTTTCCCGAAAAAAACATAATACCGGCTAAATTGATCAGCATTAAAACTAATGCTGGCTAACTTTGTCGGTATTATGTCTTTTCGGGGAATCTATCTTTCGGGATTTCAGGGTAGAACCTTCTGAATCACCAATTTCTATAATTTCTTGAACGTTAATGTTTTCATCAATAATTTCATTACTATAATCTGATACAATCATCATTTCCGAGCTATTTTAAAACTTCTCTAATTTAAAACATCCAAATTCAGAACCTAATTTATCGTCACCAGATTCAGAACCTTCAATGCTTTTTAATTTGGGACCTTCTATGCCTTCTAATTCGGGACCTCCCATGCCTTCTAATTCAGGGCTTTCCATGTTATTATTGTTACAGTATTTTTATTTTTTCAAAACAAGCATAAATTTACCTTTTTCCGGGTTTTTTTCATGGCCACCGTCCGGGTCAACCAATTAAGAATTTTACTCAACCGGCTATATTACTCTTAAAATCCGAATAATTCTAATCCTAATGTGGATATCGCTAATCAAAATTTTGATGTAGTGCGTTCTCAAAGTATTACGCTCTCATCTATTGCTATTGACGAAAACATTATAGATCCATGTGGAACTAGGGAATTACGCCATTTGCGCAGTTGTCATGGAAAACTCTGAGCATTTCTTAACACCGCAAATACCGTAATAAATCCAAACAACCATATATAGTTATCAACAATAACAACGGCAGTCATATTATATCTCTTATAGAAAGATTACCAGTCTTTATATGCCGAACTCAACCTTGTACAAAAGTCTAATATAGGAGATGTTGCAATTGCTGATATCACGAAAGATTCACAATTTATAGACTTTATTTTGGGAAATAAACAAAATTATCAAGGCAATTCTAAATCTCTGTCCAACACAGGTACAAATATAAGTGCAATAGTGGGTGGTGTAATAGGCTCACTTATTTTTGTCGGCACATTAGTGGCTGCTGGCTTTATACTGTATCGAAGAAGACACAGA